ACTTGTTGGTCAGGTTCAAGGCCTCTGGTTTCTGGTACACCATCAATTCTGGACCCTCACCAAACTCCTCTTAGATACCCTGCTATTGCTCTAAGTGAGTCATGGAAATCCTGTAGCCATGGTACTGAAGGACCAGTCCCTTCACAAACTCCAGCAGATGGGGTAGATGTTGGGGAGTGCCAACTCAAAGCCCTGGATGAGGGGAGTGCCAACTCAAAGCCCTGGATGTGTGCCTGGGTGGTAGCTGAGTTTATCTGACTGGGCTACTAGGACCTCCCACCTCAGGCCAGAGGGCCAGAGCCAACTCTCCCATGCCTGTCATGGGGCGGGGGGACTAGCTTCCCCAAGTGTGTGTTTGTGGGGGCAGCTCTCCTATGAGAGGCAGTGCCACCTCTCCTGTGCTGAGGTTATGGGGGTCTGCTGTCCCAGTGCTGAGAGGATCAGGGTCAACTCTCAGGTGAGAGGGTGGGGTCAGCTCTGCATGACCCTCAAACCTCAACACATGGTCCAACGTGGGCTTCTGTGGCAACATGGGAAACCGACATCAACACAGACAAATGGTCATGTTTTTATGCTGTGTGACAATGTTCCCTGGGTGACCAGTAAGAACAATGAGTACATTGCAGAGGAGCAACCACTGGTCCCAAGAATATATTTGTTCAGTTCATTAGCTCTTAGGGAACAGTCTATGTAGAGGGAATTGTACATACCACTATGTAAATGCTTTTTTTTTTTTTTTTAGTTCAAATTAGAAACAAGCCGGCTTCACATGTAAATCACTTCTCCCTCTTCCTCTCCTCCTCCTCCACCTCCCACCTATCATCCCCCAATCCACCCTCTGCTCCCCAGGGAGGGTGAGGCCCTCCATGGGGGAATCCCTAAAGTCTGTCATATCATCCTGGGCAGGGCCTAGGCTCTCCCCCATGTGTCCAGGCTGAGAGAGTATTCCTGCCTGTGGAATGGACTCCCAAAGTCCTTTCTTATGCCAGGGATAAATACTGATCCACCACCAAGGGCCCCATAGAGTACCCAAGCCTCCTCATTGACATCCATGTTCAGGGGTCTTTATCAGTCCCATGCTGGCCTCCCAGACATTAGTCTGGGGTCCATGTGCTCCCACTTGTTCAGGTCAGCTGATTCTGCGGTTTTCACGAGCCTGGTCTTGACTTCTTTGCTCTTTACTACTCCCTCTCTGCAACTGAATTCCAGAGTTCAGTTCAGTGTTTAGCTGTGGGTGTCTGCCTCTGCTTCCATCAGCCACTGGATGAAGGCTCTAGGATGGCATATAAAGTAGTCATCAGTCTCATTATAGGGGAAGGGCATTTAGGGTAGCCTTTCCACTATTGCTTAGGTTGTCAGTTGGTGTCATCCTTATAGATCTCTGGAAATCTCCCTAGTGCCAGATCTCTCCTCGAATCTAAATGAATCTCCCTCTGTTATGGTATCTCTCATCCTGCTCTCCTCTATTCTTGAAATATTCCTAAATCACTTTATAATACAACTAAAAAGAATCTCTGCCTGGGAAGTTTGATGGAATGCATTTGTTTATGCTTCAGCCAAAGTTATATGGGTAGCAATATCAAATTAGAATCAGTTTAGTGGCATTTGGTATATATTTTTGACTAAACATTTTATTAAAACACAGACAATTTCTGAATATTAGAAATGTATAGCTGGTTTATCAATGTGTACTATTTTAGTCTTATTTTTGCAATGCTGAGGATTAAACCTAGGACCTGTTGAGGCTTGATAAGCATTCTGGAACTCAGCTAAAATCTTAGTCCTGGCAAGCATTATGTTGACACAGATGTATTTGTAAATAGAGAAATAACAAATCTACATCTTTATGAGGATACTTTTTAAATTCAAGCTATGGTATTATTGCTTCAGAAATAAATATTCTCATTTTCAGTAGGAGACCTTCATAAAAATGTATAAGATTATAACATATTAGTACAAAATATTAGTACAAAATAGCTAATAAGGCAAGACCTGAGTAACTTTCCATTTTCTTTAAAAGGGAATACAAACATTTTAGAAATAGGAATATTATTTTTGAAGTAGTTCTCCTTATTAAAATTATATTGTTAGCCAGGTGTGGTGGCATATGCCTTTAATCCCAGTACTTGTGAGGCAGAGGCAAGTAGATCTCTGTGAGTTCAAGCCCAGCTTGGTCTACACAGAGAGTTCCAAGTCAGCCAGGACTGTTACACAGAGAAAGCCTGTCTCAAAAAACCAAAAAAAAAAAAAAATCATTGTTGTCAGTGTGTGTATGTGTGTGCAGGCACTCATTCACACACACATTATGTAACATATGTGAATGAGGTCAGAGAACAGCCTTTGGGAGTTGGTTCTCTCCAACCTTTTTCTGGTTTCCAGGCATTGAACTCAGCTCCTTTGCTTGCTGAGCCATCTTGTCATTCCTGGAGTCGTCCTCTTCAAACTGTCCACAAACACTGATAACATCTGTTGTTTACTGGACTGAGCTCCTACAGAAGTCTGCTGAAATCCCCTTGTAGAACAAAGGAGGGACGATGCCCTGTGTAGTAGCACTGAGGCATCCCTATTACACCATTCCAGGAACAATTACTTCTGTGACTGACTGACCCAGGAAAGATGCTTATTTCTAAACATGAAAGCTGGCAGGCAGGGTACATCGGGCATTGGGTCTGCTGCTGCTTATTTACAGGTTCTTCTGAAGAAAAATTGATGTTGATTCATTTTTAATTTGGCAAGATGGCTTATTAGACAAAGACACCAGCTGTCAAGCCTGATGATGTGAATTCGATCCCCAGGATCTATAGGGGGAAATTCTGGCCACACCTGGTAGGCTTAGGGCACTACAGCCCAGAACTCCTGGACTCAAGTGATCCTCCTGTCTCAGCTTCCCGAGTAGCTGGGACTACAGGCATGTGCCACTGTGCCCGGCTCCTACAGAGATGAAAGGTTACCTGGGTGCCAATGCTGCAGGGGAATAAATCCCACCAAAAGCCACGACCCACCCATGGGTTCAGAATGAAAACCCCTGACACCAGGTAATGTGAAACGCAATTAATTTGGCAATGAAGTCAGAGCTAGTTTGATGAGCAGATATTTATTAGGAAAGTACTCACTTGATGGAGTCAGTCCTGTACAACCAGGCAGGTGAAGGAACAGAGAAAGCAGCATGGGTGCGACCCTCATATTTAAAGTTTTGCTATGTCACTCTGACCACGCCCAAGTGTGTGTGGTCAGCGTCACTTGTACCAGCCCCAAAGTGGGCGTGGACAGCTTCACCTGGTCCAGCCCTCACGCAGGTGTGGCCAGCATTTCCCCCTACAAGGATCCACATAATAGCAAGAGAGAATTGACTTCTGCAAGTTTTCCTTTGACCTCCACTCATGCACTGTGGCATGTATCCACCCTGCCACACACATACCTGTATATAAAATAAATAAATATTTAATTAAAAATTTTAGAAAGGGGGGCTGAAGAGATGGCCTGACACAGCACTGGCTGCTTTTCTAGAGGATCCAGGTTTGATTTCCTACACTTGTATGGCATCTCACAAGTATTTGTAACTTCAATTCTGAGGCTCCAATGCCTCTACAGACAATGCACACATATGGTGCACAGACAGACAGACATTCAAGCAAAATACCCAGGCACATAAAATAATAAATATAACAGCAGATGGTCAATGTGAGAGTCTTCCTTTTTATTGGTCCCCATACTAACACACAAAAAAATTTAAAACAGAACTAAAGAAAAACATTAGCTTCCTTTCTCTCATTCATTTGCTCTGTGTCACCATTTGATTATTTAATTTTAATTATTTTTAGTGAAGCTGTCTCAGGGTACTGACTTGAAGGAACCTTTGCACATAATCAAATATCTTCCAAGAAAATTGTGTATTATAGTCTTTTTATATTGACTTTACTGACTATTTGCTGTGCTTACAATGTGTGAGTGTGAGTGTGTGTGTGTGTGTGTGTGTGTGTGTGTGTGTGTGTGTGTTACTATGGATAGACCTCATGGTCTCATAAGTCTAAGGATATACATTATAACTGATCTATATACCCAACTCCAGTAATTTTGGTAGCATAGCTTTTCCATAACAGGTTTAAAAATATACTCTTGAAGATGTAAAATCATCTACAGTTGAAAAATTTGAGATAATCAGAGATTTTATGACACACATTTCTATTAGGTAAGATAGGTTCAGGTTACTACTCACAGGTATCTTTTATGATTTATTTTTTCTATTAATAATTTTTAACTTTTGAAATTAGGACACAATTCTAATTTCCCCTTCCCTTTTCTCCCTCCAACCTCTCTCATACACTTATATACCCCCTTGCTCTTGCTCAAATTCATGTCTATATAATGCTACTTATATGTATATTATTTCAGTGCAGACTATTAGTAAGTATTTTAATATATAGGATTTATACTTTTAAAAGATGTATGTTCTCCCCAACAAGCCCAGAAATACTATTGCATATAATGACAGCTATTTTGCCTGTGGAAGGGACTCACTGGCTTATTGCAATTTTTGTTTATCTTGAGTGGCTTTCTGAAACAGATCCTAGTATGTGGAGGAATGCCATGTAGTCTGTAAAAAGCACACATATACAAAAGAGGTCTTCCACGGAGCCACACTGGCTATCTACACATGTGAGAAGATTGCTTTGCAGTGCGCCTATGTTCTACTTCCAAAAAAGCCAAAGTAAGCCTCTCAGCCTGGGGTGTGGGAGTCTGAGCTCCTGGTTAGCTCAAGCAGAATGGCGAGCAGTAATATAGCAGGACTGGATGGGAGAGATTGGGAACTTGAGAACCTCCTGCCACCGAGCAACAGGCTGTGTAGACAGGAGGAACAGTAAGTTAGCTTCAGGAGACAACAATCAAATGCAGAAGTGCACCGACCTCTCATCCCCAAGTTCACACGATCTTCCTTAAGGCACCCGGTTGAACTAAGACAGCTAATATAGAAAAGTCACTTACCACTACCTGTTTTTCAGAACGATGCAAATGTAAGCCTGTCAGAGCTACACAGAAGACCTATTTCCGGAACAACTACAACTATGGTAAGGATACCTTCGCAATCCATGAATAGAGTGCTGGGTTGGGAAACCTGTGTATATATTACACGCACATGCTTGCATGCGTGTGAACGTGTAGTTTAAATGTAAGGCTTAAAACAAAGAAGGACACTTGCAAGGGTTGTCCCCAGCTTCTGCTAATTAAAATGTTATTGTAGTTACAACACCGTCATCAAATGCCTGATGTACTCACATTTAAAAAAAAAAAAAAAAAAAAAAAAAAAAAAAAAAAAACCTTAAACCATAGCATTGAGTACCCGGAGATCAGTTTCAAAGTAGACATTCTCATCTCAGGGTTGGTACTTGGGGTGAATCTGTTCTCCAGCGAAATGAATCATAGGACACTGGAAAGCAATACAATAGTTCTTGAAATCCATCTAAGGGGATGTTTTGCTATTTAACTTGATCATATATAGCATTTAAATAAGATAAATGTTAATTGAAGTGCCACCTCTACAAACAGAGGTGACTTAATGGGAGGATGCTATCTCTACCAGTGACTATTTTAGGTGTTTTATGAACTATCTCATTTAATTTTCCCAACTGCTCATGAACACTCTTTGAATGCTGGTTTTATGAATGATTATTGAGCCAACACTGTCCCTTCTTTCATTTTGCATAATGTACTTTTGGGCACTGTTACCCTTCAAAAAACATCAACTGTCCGGTCAATAAAAATCACTGTCATGTTTTGAAGATGGGAGTTACTAGAGTTCTTTAGCTGGTATGATATAGTTCTGCTCAGTGTTGCTGTATTCCACAGATTTTTACTATAATTGCCTTTGAGTAGAGGTTGAATATCCCTTTTGCAAAATGCTTGGGACCCGAAGTATTTAGGATTTCAGATTTTCAGTTTTCATTTTGGAGTATTTGTGGAAATGTAATAATCTTTGGAATGGGACTGAAGCATGAAATTTGTGTTTCATAGACATCATTTCTTGAAGGTAATTATAGGTGTGTCTTCAATTTGACTGTGGCCTGTCACATGAAGTCAGGTGTGGGATTTTCTATTTATAGTATTGTGTTGGATGTGGCAGTAGGGATGCCCAGTCTGTCGAGGAGACTGACAAGGTCATTCCACACTCCCCTGAGTTAATAAGTAAATGGATTGCAGAGACTCCAAAGGGAACTGTATTATTAAAATAAGAATTTTGTCTTCATATGCCTTACTTTAGAGGACATCAGGCATGTAGAGATTTGTGTCAACTTCTACAGTTTGGGGACTTGGAAGAAGAGAAATGTGAAAGACCATGACAGAATTATTTTTAAACAGCATAAAAGTAACTGCTGGGGATAGGAGAGTCCAAATGCAACTTCTTTCCCAAGTTTTTCTTCAGTGGAATCAGTTTTTATCTTTTACTTATAATTTATTTATTTTTAGAAGGGGATTCTGTACTTCAGACGCTGGCCTGGGATCTGGTGATATATTATTTATGGTTTGGTAAAGCTTGCTGAGGATTCAGAAAGCAAAATCAGCCACAAGCCATAGAAGCTAGGCACATGCCTTTAATCCCAGTAGCCAGAAACTAGGAGGTGGTGGTACACACCTTTAATCCTAGGATTCAGGATTAAGAGGTAGATGGATCTCTCTGAGTTCAAGGTCATCCAGGGATACATGAGATTGAATCAGTCTAAAAGAGTAACAGATCACATGCCTTTAATCCCAGCACTACAGGGGTATAGAAGATAGAAGCAGGGTCTTTAGTATTCACTATGAGGCATTCTTTCTCCAGTCACACTGAAGAGAGGTTACAGTCTGAGGTTTGGTGAGAGCTCGTGGAGCCCAATCAGCTTGAGGTGAAGGTAAGAAGCTAGTGGCCAGCTGCTTTGCTTTTCTGATCTTCAGCTTGAAGTTTGAACCTCAGTATCAGTCTGGGTCTTTTATTTTTCATGTTACACTAGGACTTGCTGCATAGCCCGAATTGCCCCTGAACTTGTATTCTAAACCTTTCTGGAGCTAGAGTTATGGGCATGTGCTACCAGGCCCAGCTAACTGCTTATCTTCAGTAGAATCTTAGCCACTGTTGGCTAGAGAGGGATAGACTTCCCAGGGGTGAAGGTTAAGTTTACCTAAGAATCAGATGCTGAAGACCCCGCCCTTATGTAAACCCATGTGACTGCAGGGAAAGGAGGTCTTTGTTTCCAGAAAGCTAGCCTTTTAAAATTGATAAAGGCTATGTGAACTTTTAAGTTCAAAGCCAACCTAGATTTCCCTAGTCATGACTTGGAGAAAAAAAAGGAGGAAATTTTTTTTCATAGCCAGATACTAACCAGGCTACCCATGACTTAAAGTTAGCTCTTAGGTGGAACTTACAGATCCTTAAGGCAAAACAGGCAATCTAATGCTTGGCTAGAAGGTAAACTAATGGAAGGGAATATTTCCTAAAAAATATATTGATTTTCACTAGATGTTTCAACAGATGTTTGCATGTATCTATTGGGAAAACAAAGTTCAGGCAGGAACAATTTGCAATTCCTATAAAACCTCTGCCTCATTCTTGACTAATTCAGTAATAATTTGTGAGTTTTAGCAAAATTACTTGAATAATAAAGTAGGTGTTGTAGGGAGGTATTTTTTTTGGAGTAGGTATATGTGCTAAAAATTTCTAATGAAAACAGTGGGTATCCTGGGTAAATAAATCATTAGCTTGAGAACATTTGCCCAGCTCCCTAATCGCTAGTGGCTGGCGAATCCTGCGAAGCACATTCATCTAAGTCAGGACTCACACAAGTATGTCTGCTAGCTAGCCTTCCAAACTTATCGTCTGGAAGGAAAACCTTATCTCTTGTCAAAATACAAGGTCGAGAGAACAGAAATAGAAAGGGACTCTGCTTGCCAATCAAGCCAGGCAAGGGCCAGCTGGGTAGTTAGACCTTGTCTGCCACAAACTCTCATACTTGCATTGCAACAAATGAAGACTCTGAGGACTGAAATAGTCATGAAGTAAAAATAAGGCTTCATCCTAAGGATTTACAAGTTCTGGTAACTGAATCTCTGTTCTGTACATCACTGTTCTGGTGGACTATTATGTTACTGTGATAAAGTTAAAACACTGGTAGAGGAGTGAAATTCCAGCTGGCTTTATGTTTTTATGGAGGGATTTTTATCAATTCTGTATTGTCCTGAACACCTAAAGTACATGGGAGGTTCTGCAAGTAGGGGTTTGTATGTACATGCCTACCTACAAAGCTTTCCCAAAGCGGATTCATTTGGCTGTATTGTGATTCGTCTGTGGACTTTGTACTAATAAGAAAAAGCTTCCTGAGCTTTTGCTGTTGACTTTTTATTAATTGACATTTTCACATCTTTCTTTAAAAAAAAATTCTGTAAAAATGCTTATGTACCAGAAGTAGAGATCTACACAATGTGGCTCTTCAAAAGGAGAGACACATGAGAGCAGAAGACATGTGCTTTCTAGATTCTGAGTCACACAGTTTGACTTTGCAATGGAGGGAGGGCTATTTGCCTTTGTATTGAAAAGTGAAACTGAGTTCTATAGGATAAAGCAAGTGCTAGTACTTGCGTTTCGGGAGGGAGATGTATGCAACTGGCATGATAGAATGGTCTCCATAACACAGCAGTGTAGGGAGACACCGTAACCACGCCTCCTAAGGTTATCTTAACCTTACGGATTTTGTATCAGTTATTCACCGTTTTACAGCAGGGACGTGGAGTGGCAGAGTAGCTGAGCACAAAGAACATGGAGGAGACAAAGTCTAACAGACAACTTTCATTCAAGAAGAAAGTTCAGTATAAGTATACTTAAAGGAGATACAAAACATGATGCTGACATAAAGGAAGGATAGTGCTAATGGTTGGATGGTGAGCTGAGATGAGGGAGGTAAAAAGACTGAAGAACTCATTTGGGAACACTACTAAACAGGGCCTTGCTGTAGCCCTGAAGAGATCCTGCCTTGAGAAAATTGATCATGTGAAGAATGCTGCTGAAGAGAAGAAGTATAGAGTTGAGTTTAGGCCTTTACAGAGGGTGACATTAGTGTAAGTTAATCCCTCTTGGCAGCAATTGGTGCTGCACACATGCATATTCATACGTCCAAAGTGAAACTTTGGAGGGAAATGATTAGCATAGCAGATGACACAATCAACCCTGATTCAGTGGGTTTTTGAAAATCAAACACTTGTGCACACACATGCATACATAAACACCAGTGTGTGCGTATACAGACACATATACAATTGGCAGGGAATTGGGGTTGAGCACAGCGAAGGCAGGGATGGCATTTAATTTCACTGAAGAAAAGTGTCTGCCTAACTTCTTTCTAACCATTGAGTATGAAATTGAGAGGACTTGACGAGAAAGAATCCTCCTGGCGTTTTTGCATGGTGTACCTACTATGTGCCATCATATGAATCAGATTTACTTTCTTTGATCCAGTCATTCGGGCTAAAGTTAAAGAGGTAAAGACAAAGTGCCATGATGTGACTGCTGTTGTGGAGGTGAAAGAGATTCTAAAGGCATCTCTGGTGAACATCCCAAGAGACACTGTGAACCTCTACACCACCTCTGGCTGCCTCTGCCCCCCACTTCATGTTAATGAGGAGTATATCATCATGGGTTATGAAGACGAGGAACGCTCCAGGTAAGTTCCCCTAAGAATTATATTCTCTTTATACATCTTGCTGTGATTTTCTTTTCTTTGGCTCTTTCTACTTCCTCAGGAACTGTGGTTATCTTTTAATTTTATATATTGGATAGAAAAGGATGTAAGCATAATTTATGGGTATGGATTTTCTGGAATGAAGGATTATAACTTGGTTTATTTCTAAAAGGGGTCCATGACTCCTAAACAGTTAAGACTCTTTTCAACTCTCTGGCTTCTCTATTCGAGAATAAACATATTTAGTTTTTCTTGTCACCAATCCTTGAATTTTTCAATAATATACATTGTGGTCATTTGATTTTAAAAATGCAGGTTACTCTTGGTGGAAGGCACTATAGCTGAGAAGTGGAAGGATCGGCTTGGTAAGAAAGTCAAGGTAAGATTAGATTCTGTGTTCAAAGTAGTTAAGTATTGGGGCTGGGGACAGCTCTGTGGTAGAATGCTGACCTGGCAAGCACACTCCAGCACCCAGCACCAGAAAAAAAAATTCTGTCTGGTAATGTAGTCCATAGAAAACCACCTCTCGTATAAATTAAATAATTGCCCTCAACTACATGAGAATATTAAGACTTGATACATATAATATACACGTGCATAGACATACACACATGCATTGAATATTCTTTTTTTATTTTTATGTATTTATTTATTATGTATACAGGGTTCTGCCTGCATGTATGCCTGCAGACCAGAAGAGGGCACCAGATCTCATTATAGATGGTTATGAGCCACCATGTGGTTGCTGGGAATTGAACTCAGGACCTCTGGGAGAGCAGTCACTGCCCTTAACCGCTGAGCCATCTCTCCAACCCTCATTGAATATTTTAAGAACTGAAATTGTCTTAGGTTTCTATTCATTTAAGGAATGAATTCTCTGTACTTGTATGAAGCTCTAACTACAGTCACCCTACTTGTAGTTAGCCAATTACCACAGGCTGGCTTCACGTTTTCATTTGAACTCCAGCTTCCTGATATTGGTAGGGTATCACTTCCATCTTCATGTGCAATAGAAGTCACAGAGGACTGTTCTGCCACCAACATCATACTTCATTTCAGGCAGGAAGAAAGGAGGAGGACAGCATGCCTTTCCAAGAATTCTATCCAGAAACTTACCTTAGAACTTTTGATCAGGGCAGGTGCTGTGTTGATCTCTAGTTGTGAGAACAGGAAATACAGGGTTTTTATTGCTTCCAAACAAGTTGTTCTTCTCCAGGAAAGGAAAAAACAAAACAAAACAATGATAAACGGAGAAGGGACCTGACCAAACTAGGTCCTGAGAACTGTAATGTGGCTTTAATATTTTATATTAAGATCCTAGAATTTATATATCAAAAAATCAAGTAGTGGATTACTTAGTTTTAAAAAAAGGTTTTCATTTCTTATTATTGAACCAGCACCTTTTTCAAAGAAAAGGATGAGTGGGGCAAATGCACAGGAAGCTGAAGAATCCCCTAGGATGTGTGCTGGGGTGGGGGTAGGGTGGGGTGGGAATTTGACCAAACATAATACATCCTCTTCTCTCTGAGAGTGGAAGGCTTGGGAAGCACTTACAGGGTAAGCTAAACACCCGTAGGCAGTTGATCTTATACATTCGGCACTCAGCCAGGCAGACACATATGAATTGAAGTGACCTACAAAAATGTGGAGGGGATTTCACAGGTAGAAACTATCACTACCAAGTCCCTCTTGTCCTCAGTGTTTTTGTCAGCCGGCCACGAGTATTCTCTGTTTTCATCTCTCATCAGTTAACCTGGTGTCTAATTATTAGTGGAGAAATGGCTTGTCTTCAGAATACTGCGATCTCTTTTCATCTTCACAAGTCTGTTTTCTGCTTCCTAGTGCAGAACAAGAATTTGTCCTAAATTCCTGTACCAGTTGGAAGAGCTTCAGCACCTCTGCTGGCATGTGTAACAAGCCTGCCTGGTTATGTTTTCCCTGGGATGCATGGCTGTCCTGTTTCTTAGCATGGTGGATTTACTTCCCATTGCTTTTTACAGGGAACTCACAGTTTTTATGAAGTCATTGTGGTCTCAGACTGAATTTAAACACACTATGGAAAACAATTAACCAGTAATGAGTAATGTTTTTGAGACTGTGCCTTGCCCTAGCTGGACTGATAGTTCCAATTTAGCAGAGACTGGACTGGTCCTTGCAATATAGTGCAGGCTGGCCTTGAACTCTCAGTAGTCCTCCTGCACTGGCGTTTGTATTATAGTAATATATCATCACACCACCTCTCTTCCATTGTGTTTCTTTTTTAAAAGATTTTTAATTTTTTTTATTTCACATGTCTGTATGTTTAATCTGTGTATATGTCTATGCATGAGTTCCTGGTGCCCAAGAAGGCCAGAAGAGGGTGTGGTATTCTCTGGAATTGGAGTTATAGATGTTTGTGAGCGGTCTCTTGGGTGCTGGGAACCTCAGGTCCTCTGCAAGATCAGCAAGTGTTCCTAACCACTGAGCCATATCTCCAGACACAACTGGCCAATTTTTAATTCATGTTTATGTTCTGAGCCAGAAGTTTGGGGTGGGAAAACTCCTCTGGCTGGAATTATTAGGATCATTATTATATGTTTTTGGTTAACTCAGGAATGTTAAAATGACTTTTATGGAGGACCTTATTTTTTGTAATCCAATCAAAGTTGCTCTTTATAGCTGATTTTTCTTTGTTAAGTCTATTTAAAAAGACCTTTTGTCATTCCCCTATGTACATGAGTGTTTGCCCTAAGTTCCACGACAGCCAGTAGTTCAAATCAAGATATTTGAATTGTCTTAGAGGGAGTTAAGGATCAGATTGCTTTTTAAATATGAAAGCAATAATATTGTGGGGACAAAGTCAGCCAGGAAGAAGATATTATTTAATAGAAACATTGTAAAATAGCAAACTTACTGTTTGCCATTCACTTTGTAGATAATTCAGTCTTCATAATAATCCTATTATTTATGTTATTAATCTCAATATAGAAACAATAAAAATGCCATTGATTAAGTTCAAAAGCTTTGCATGGTAAGTAGTGATTTAGAATCAGAACTTGGGTAATCTGGCATTAGCTTCTTGCTACTTAAAGTGAGGTCGCTGAACCAGTAGCCCCAGGATCACTGGAGAGCACCAGATGTGGGAATCATGGACCCCATTTCAGAGCTGTTGAACAAGAATCTGTTCCCAGCAGGATCCTCTGATGATTCCTATGCTCACTGAAGTTTGCCAAGTACAGATGTTCTTATCACTTCCTGTACTTTCAAAATGTAACCTCCATTCAATTTCTTATAAGTAAAAACTATTGACATTGCTCATATGAAATACAAGCAAATATAATGTCTCTTATGAAATACAAGCAAATATAATGTCTCTTATTAAAAACAGTGCATACAACAATTACAAACAAAACCCTGCAGTACATGCATTGTAAAACTTGAGGCAGAGGCAGGATCTTGTGTTTTGGCTGTAACTGGTAAATATTAGAAAACTATTGTAGGAACACCTCATGTTTTCACTATTCAAATCAAATCAGTTAATTGTGTGTGTGTGTGTGTGTGTGTGTGTGTGTGTGTGTGTGCATGTATACATACTGGTGCATGCTGATGAATGTGCTTCTGGTAGCTAGAGGTTACTGTTAGTGCCTTCCTCAGTTGCTCTCCACCTTACTTGTTTGACACACATTTTTTCCTGAAGCTGACATCCAACTAATTAAGCTAGATTCCCTGACCATGAAGCTAGAAGGACCCCACTCCACTGTCTGTGTCCTCTGCCCTCCCTGCTCACTCAGCACTGAGATGATAGACTTGTACCACTCCACTTGGCTTTTTCCCAGATGCTGAGTACCAAACATTAGGTTCTTACACTTGTGCCATCTCCCCAACCACTCAATTAACTTTAAAAGGTTATATTGCTTTGGTCTTAGGAGGATGAAAAATAGCCCCCCCTTTCAAATTTATCAACATAAGTCTTCCACTTGAATATGAACTTGGAAAGTACAAATACTGCTGACATTTGCATCATTTACAAACATGGGAATTTTATTTCTAAGTTTTGGTATGATGGCATTACTGAATGTCTTATAGATGAGATGGTCTCCTTTGTGTTTTTTGAAATCAGCATTGAGTTTATGCAGTATCGGTTTCATTGTTATCCTGGGAATAGAGATTTTATGCTTTTGGAAGAGTAGAAAAACACTTTAGAGATCTGATTTTGCAATCTCCCCCTAACATCATAGAAATGATGTCCCTTGTGCTATGTCCGTGTGACTGTTTTCTCTTTTACATTTCACAGCGCTGGGATATGAAACTTCGTCATCTCGGACTAGGTAAAACGGATGCTAGTGAGTCCACTCAGAATCAGAAGGCTGGCAGGAACTCTAATCCTCGGCCAGCACGAAGCTAAGTCCTGAAATGCAAAAGGCCACACCCATGGACTCCCTACTAAGACTTGCATTGCTGGACTAGCAAAGGAAAATTGCACTATTGCACTCATGACCATGTTTACTACAGATACCATGTGGCAACCGATATTACTTTTGCATCCTCTTCTCCTGCTTCTTAACGGCCTGGGTTAGATCCTTAAATATGTTATATATTCTATTTTACTAATCATGGGGAACTGTTCTTTCACAATAGTAACAATAAATTAAACATGCTGATACTAAAGTCTCTGTACCAGAGTCCACAGGTGTTGATTTTGTGTTCTTTACCCAGATTGAGAATGCTATCTTGGTTGTAAAGAGAGATCTCTGGTAATAGATATTGCTATCTAGATATTGCTGAAAACCCGACTCTGCTGGTGTTCTTCCAGCCTTGTTTTTGTATGCCTTTTGGGCATTTCCCTCATGCTATGAAAGTTCTAAATGTTTATTAAAGGTAGAATGGCAGTTTGAAATTAAATACTGCACATGCAGAGAAATGCAACACCAGGAAGCATTTATGAGGAAATGCCACACAGCATGAATAATTTTCAAGATTGGCAGGAAGCAAAATAAATAGTGTTAGGAGCCAAGAAAAGGATATTTTGCCTGACTAAGGAACATGCTGGAACCAGTAGCCCTTGAGCCATTAACAGCAGTGTTCTTCTTCTGGCAATGTATTTGATTTGTTCATAAATATATTAATGGGCTTTAGAGAAACAGGTATAGCTAGACATCTGCCATTATCACTATAGCCCTGCTTCCTTCTAAATAAAATCCATAGTTAGATGCCCCCCCATAATAATTTGGCTTGCTGTATTGATCAGAAAAAAAAAAGTATTAAAGTAGCTTGCATGTGAACCAGGGTGGTATTTTAAAGAGGTATGTAGCTCCATAAAATACCCTACTTAATAGGACAGTCAAATGTGCAAATTTGTTTTTATTTTTTTGCTTTGGGCTTGTGATTTTGGTTTTTGGGGTGTGTTCATCTGTACTTTTGCAGGAGTGCATCTAATCTGACACGCACCCAAGTTGGACTAGATTGTAGGCCTGCTCTTTGGCCTAGACATTTTCATTTGAATTTGTACTATTTAATGCTCAGTTAAAATGTCTAATAGAAGGAGGTATGGTTGTCAGGAGAGAGATTATTCTGATTCTTAAACAACAACAACAAAACAACACAATGCTTTTATTATTCAAGCTTCAGTGAGACCCCTACAGACCATGGGAAACCTGTGATGTCATTTCTTCCTTTCTGCAGCAGGGATCTTCAATCACTTGAGAGTCTCGTTTCCTGCAGTTTACACATGTGATAATAGTAGACACAGATTTCTAAGCTATGGTGTGCTGAAAATAAAACATGTATGGAGCAAATGATGCTGTGTTTCCTTCTGTAAGAACAACTGTGCAAGGATGAAATTCATTCATGATTGGAGGTTTCTTATGTTGGTAATTAACTCATTCAAATTTTTTCTTTTAGAAGCAAAGAAGCATCCTCATCTTCCAATGAACCCTAAACACCAAAATTTCCCCCAATTTCAGAAGCAGAGTCCCACATTTGCCTTAGGACAGCCCAGGCTTGAATCTACCATGTATTTGCTTTCAGGTACCTTGTACTGTATTCTCTGATACTGGGGTAGGCATGTCTCTGTGTCTCTTCTTAGGTGCTATTGTCATTCCTTTAAGGTGAATTTTGTGTTACTAAGTAAGGGCAAAGTGTTGCAAGAGGGATGCTGGCCTCCAATCTCTCCTCAGTGTATCTGCCTTGGCATTGGGTTCCTAGGCTGAATGCACCCATCTTAGTTTGGTTTTTCTCTGCCCTGCGGAAAGGGCAGGGCTCAGTTACAGGAGACTTGAAGGATCTGGCATCTGGAATCTCTAACATGCTATCAGTGTTTCCAGGGCATAGTTGAAGCTATTTCTTGTTTGTTTGTTTGTTTGTTGTTGAGACAGGGTTTCTCTGTAGCTTTGGACCCTGTCCTGGAACTTGCTCTGTAGACCAGGCTGGCCTGGAACTCACAGACATCTGCCTGCCTCTGCCTCCCAAATGCTGGGATGAAAGGCATGTGCCACCACCACCCAGAAGTTGAAGATATTTTAAGTGATGGAAATTTGACTGCTTATTTAGTTATATTTTTTATGGTCCTTAAGATGGAACCAGGCCCTAGGGATGCTAGGTTTTCAACCACCAAGCTACATCTCCAGCCAGTGAGGAAATATTTTGATATAAATGAAAACCTGCAGATGTTTTGGGCAGGTGCATAGATTGGAAAACATAATGGTTATCAGTGTGCAACTTTCACATATAATAGATTTAATTCATACACAACTGCATTTATAGACAAAAGGAGGCAGTCTCTCAGATTAAGCAGTGTTTTTACGACCTTCCATTTTAGTCATCTATATTGATAATGTTTGGTCTTCTCTGTATGACGCTTGTCATTTATGTGAACATTTTTAATGTGACAACACCTGTGAACAAAGTATGTGCCGTTTCCCAGTTTGTTAGCTGCAGCATCTTCACTAACAAACTGTGCAGACCTCATGGAGGACAGCACGATTTTATCATGACAGTCAGTTTTCTAAGCAGACTGCAAAACCGTTTATACTCCTCTTTGTCATATATGTCTCACTAGTGCCTTCCTACAGACCATTTATGCTCCCCTTGAAAGCCACTAAAAGCCAGGCAGTGATGACATGCACCTTTAATACCAGCACACAGGAAGCAGAGACAGGCAGATCTCTGAGTTCAAGGCCAGCCTGGTCTACAAAGCAACTTCCATGACAGCTGGGGCTACACAGAGAAAACACTGTTTTGAAAAACAAAAACAAACAAACAAAAGCCACTAACTCTTGAGGCCTTTAAAGTCAATTGAAATCTCCTTAAGGAAAATTTTCTCACTTTCAGGATTTTAGCTTTCTTAGCAAGTCAACAGCAAAACAGCCCTATGTTTGCTAAATACACCAGTGCAAAATGGACAGTGAACTTGTACTCACCTTTCCACGGATCCATGGAAATACTGTATTGTGTATAGTGTAATCTGACTCGGTGCCATATGGTGCACTGAGCATTGGGGGTGGGGTGGGACAGTCCTGTGTCTTTCCACATCTGTTACCTATTAAGAAGTCAAATTCAACAGTTACAATCACTGTGAGTAAATAGCTCTACTTATTGCCTTCTGCAAGACATTATTTGCTATTACATTTCAACAGTAAAATGACTTTTTAAAAAGCATTTCAAGATTGGTAATTGTTTAGCCCTATGGATTTTAAAGTTTTAATACAGAAAAAGCACTAAGGAAGATGGTAAAAATGAAGCAAAGATTTTTAGTGGTGTGTCCCTGAAATGCAACCCAGAGAATTAAAATATATGGTTCCCAGCTGCTTGCATGTTAACAAAAATAATGTACTCAGACCTTTGATGGGGATCTCTTTAGGGTCCTTCTAGCAGTGGCAAGAAGTTATACAAAACACTTACACATGTCCTATTGGTGTCTTAAAAGTTTATGGTTCGATTCCCACTTTATAGATGAATTGAAGATTCAGGACTTCAGGCATCCTAAGTGGCAGAGAGGGGCTTTAGAACCTCTTAGTCTTATATTTCCCAAGTTGTATGTTTTCTTTTGTAATTACTAATAAAAATATAAATGTACCGTAATATGGTTTTTAAAAAGCACAGTGCAAAGTGAGTGGAAGATCTACTTGATGGTATCAGAAAACCTACATTGTGCCATCCAACACTACCCCCAAATACAGTCATTTTACCCATCCAGGTGTCCACACCACCCTGAAGTCAAAATTTCAGTGTTTAATTGTTCTAGTTCTGAATAGTTGGGAATATAAGCCAAGTGATTCTTTTGACACTGGTAGCTTAAAGATACATGATTTTGAGTTGGAAAACGGTTATTTTTTCTATCTTCCCCTTGAATTTGGAAAAAGTCTGAAGTTCCTAGTGTTTGTCAATGTTTGTAGGAAGGTGAAGTCAAAGCTTTGTGGCTGCTACACAGAAAACTCGGTGGCTGGTTTCCAAAATGGAGGGACTGTCACGTCCTAGGCAGATCATCACTTTTATGGCTGGGCCATCAGGGGTATCATAATCTAAGGAGGAACTTTTCCATATGGCCTATTTTCCCAGCTTGTCATTCTTGAAGTACTTTTATTATGACAGATTCAACATGTCATTGTAAGACAAAGATGCTTTTCTCTGGATGAAATGCACACATTATGTTTCTGCTTGGTGAATGTTACAAACTTGAGCTGTAGGCCCATGAAGAAGGAAAGAGTATGGGAAATACTTCAGGCCAGTTTGTCGAAAAGGAAAGGAAATGCAGAATGCTGAGGAGGCTGGTGCAGCAATGAAGGGAAATGTGGATAATAACTTTACAATAACCACGGGGATATGAGGGTGAGACAGCACCCACTCTACCGCAGCATTATAGTCATGTGTTTGCATAGAGATGTGGGATGCATGTTACCATTATAGGCCAAGCTAAGTGCTTCTGCAAGATGAGTGAGCTGGGAAACATGAGCTAGCTCAGGGATGTTAGTCTGAGATGAGGCAGTAGAGTATTCCATCACATTCAATGGTAGCTCATGAGTAAAGCCGACTGGATTCATTCTGATGTCTATTTCTACATCATTTGGGTGTTTCTATGGAAACCATAGCTTCTTGGAAGGTTGCATCCCTGTGTATTGATGTAGCTGGAACCAAAATTTCTGAGGGAACAGTTGAAAAAGCATAAAGATTTATTTTAGGGCTGGAGAGATGGCTCAACGGTTAAGAGCACTGACTGCTCTTCCAGAGGACCTGGGTTCAATTCCCAGCACCAACATGGCAGTTAACAACTGTCTGGTACTCCTAGGGGATCTAACACCCTCATCTAGACATACTTGCAGGCAAAACACCAATGTACATAAAATAAAAATAAATTAAACTCCTGCAAAACTTTTTAAAAAAGATTTCTTTTAGCTTCTCTTCAGATATTTGATCTCTGTTCTTGGCTTTGTTGACTTTTCATCCATTGTGAAGCAGAGCATCATGTTGGGATTCTGTGATGGACAAGGCTGTCCCCTTCATGGTAGACAGGCAGCAGAGTACAAGCATCAAAGGCACACCTCTACAGATCCACTCTTCCAGTTAGCCCCAACCTCCTAAAGTCTTCAGAAGGTCTCAAAGTGGTGTCATTAGCTA